GGAGTTATTATTTTACACTCACTACAAAGAAACAACCATCCTTTTGACAGACCAAAGGGCACAAAGGTTAAATATTGTCCAGTTGTTATTGAAACCATTTTTGTCTTCTCATTCTTTTTGTTCACGCATTTGTTTGAATTTAATTTCAGTCTTTTGTTTTCACTCATTAATAACAAGAATATATTTTTGTTGGTTAATTTGTCTGGTGTTAGAATTAAGTGATTATCAACTTCACCACAAGCTCATATATATAGTATTAGATGGGTGCAAAAGTTTCCAGAGAAAAATTGTTTTTCAACTGCCTATTTGGTCTCAAATTATCAAAAAGGTCTTCTCTGGACTTCTCAACATACACTGAACAACTGGTACACCATTCCAAAATTTTAATGTGACATTGTTGGAATTGGAAATGTGAAGTATTGAAATTGTCTAGATGACAGCAGTGCTACTGGTATGAAAAGGTGTTGGGTATTTGAGGAGATGTTATCCCTTCATCCCAAGTAACAATCATCAAAATCATCTTTTACTAGCATGCAAATGTATGAAATTTAATAATATCGATTTGTTTTAATCCTATAGTTCACCCAATACAAAGTCTTAGTGTCACTCAAGATAGAGGATTACTGGATGATATTGTTGTAATCGCAGAAAGAAAGAAAGAAAGAAAGAAAGAAAGAAGTGCATATTATAGGAATATGTAGGATAGATAATGGTTGACTTAAAGAGATTCTCATTTGCAATTTCTTTCTAAACATTTCACTCCAAGCAAGGCAACAAAGCCACTAGGATGCAAGAGGTTACTGAGTGTTAGAGAATATGATAAAAACTACTATTAAGGCAAGAGGACAATAATTTTTTAACCATTTCACCCCAAGCAAGACAATAAAGCCACTAGGACACAAGAGGTTATTGAACGTTAGAGATTATAAGAAAAACTACTATTAGGGAGAAAGGACAATAAAAGAATAAGAAATAAGAAGGCAGATGAAAATGATTGACATTACATTTAAATTTTTGAAGATCAAAGTTGACTGGGAAGCAAAAAGTCAGAAGAGAATTCCCCAATTGAGAAGTGCAATAGAAAAATCTGTTAGCATAGAACTTATGATTACATCTAGCCCTTTCAACTGTAAATTGATGAATTTGAAATTGTTTTTGTTAATTCCATTTTTCACACCAGTAACTGTTACACTACTTGTACATCTGTTAAGTCCTTCTATGTGCTGTGTCCCTTCAGGACATAAACGATTATGGCTCTCCACAACTTTCTATCTCTTGTAGCTTTCAGTAACATTTGTTTTTTTTACTATATCTGTAAATCAATTTAGACAAACCTATCAGATAGATGGCTCACTGCTTCCCACTGACCCTTTTACATTTGATATGCCCTGTGAGTGTCAAATTCTCCAAGCCCTCTTTCCTTATTATGTGTCCAAGAAATTTCAACTTTCTCTTCTAAGTATAAGTATTTTTTGTTCTCATCTTCCTTAAAAATTTCTTGTTGCTCACATACTTTATCAATGGTATTCTCAGTGTCCTTCTATAGAACCCCATCTCTGTTGCCTCAAGCCTTCTCTTCATCTGTACAGAAATTGTTTAGCATTCACTACCATAAAAATTGTTTTTGACTGCTTCATTTTTTACAACTTATCAACCCATTGCAGGTTATTTAAAGCCAGAAAATACTTTTAGATTGTAAGAATTTTCTTTTGGAAATAATAATTGTTTTAGCAATACAAGTCTTACTAATTAACCAATAGCTGGGGGGAAAGAGGTGGATTCATACCTTTTCTAAGGGTATTTGTGCGTAAGTGAATATAATATGAATTGGAACTTGGCTGTTTGATTAACAATTCCAAGCTCTTATCCATTACACCATCTGCACATCCAAACTTACAGCAACTGGTATTCCGAGACCATAAAAGAGGATTGAGGTTACATAATAATTTAGCACTGTTTACTTTGTTTCTAATGAATTTTTTCTGTTTCTTGATACTTTGCTTAGCTTTTAGAATGCATATTCTGATATTTTAAGGTGCTTTTGGATCTCTGTGTGCATTTTGAGTTGTCTGCTAAAACAGTACTTCTCAGGCTATCTGATATGGTTGACTGGCATTTTTTTTTCTCAATGTGTCATGTACTTGTAATATTTCATGGTAATATTAATTTATACTGGAAATGATGTATATAATGAATATAATAAAAAGTTGACTATTTTTTATCTTCCATTTATTTTGCAAAAAATAATTCAATATCAAAACATATAAAATGTAATGAAAAAATAAGCTTCAAATGATTCCTTAACATGACCTGGACACTGGCCATGTAGCCTACAAGATACCAATAATCTTTCCTATAGCCTACAAGGTACCATTAATCTTTCCCATAGCCTACAAGGTACCAATAATCTTTCCTATAGCCTACAAGGTACCAATAATCTTTCCTATAGCCTACAAGGTACCAATAATCTTTCCCATGGCCTACAAGGTACCAATAATCTTTCCCATAGCCTACAAGGTACCAATAATCTTTCCTATAGCCGACAAGGTATCAATAATCTTTCCCATAGCCTACAATGTACCAATAATCTTTCCTATAGCCTACAAGGTACCAATAATCTTTCCCATAGCCTACAAGGTACCACCTCAGGCAAGAGAATTAGTGGCAGATAGAGGAGAAAATGGGCTGACAATGTCACAGAGTGGATTGGAAATTCCTTTTCAGACATTGACATACAACTGAGACTTATGGAGGGAACTGGTGAGGTGCTCAGTTATGTAGTAACCATATAATCACACCTAGTTATGGGACTGAAGATGGTGATGGTTCTGCTGCTGCTGCAGCTGATGATGATGATGATGATGATGATTGTTTTTATTTATCTTGATATTGATATAATTGCTTTCTTATAGTTTTGTATTGGCTCACCATTAACAATGATGCAGTTCTTTAAAGGTTTCCTCTTCAAAACCATGTAGTATTGTTTCATCTAGAGTTCCTTATTGTTATCATCACCACTGCTGCTGTCACCACCATCACCATCATCATCATCATCAAAACTGTTATTGCTGTTATCATCATCATTGGAGTTATCACTACCACTGTCATCTTCACTACCACCACCACTATTGCTATCATTATCATCAGTAACTGCAGCATCCCAATATTTCTGGCATTATCATTACCACCACTACTATTGCTATTATCATCATTGTCATCGCTGTTATTGCTGTAACAATCATCACCACTACAATTATTACTATTATCTTTGCTATCACTACCACTGCTTCTGCACCATTCGCATCACCACAAGATGTTATCATTATTGTTACCACCATCATCATCATCATCATTGCTGCTGTTATTATCATCATCATCATCATCATTATGATTGGCCTCATCACTGTTGTTATCATCATCAGCATTTTATTATCATCATCACCACCACTATTACTGCTGTTAATACTATTATTATCATGACCACCACCACTACTACTACTATCATTATCATCACTTTTATTATTATTATCATCATCAACATTAATACTGCTGTCATCATCGGTATTATTATTATCATCATCATCATCTCTTCCATTATTGCCATCATTATCATCATCAATGCTGTTATCAACATCATTGTTGTAATTGTTAATACATAATTTCTTACCATCTGTATTGATGTTCAAGTTATTTCAAGAGAGTCTGATCACATTTGTAAGTTATTTTTGTTTGAGTGAATAGAACTGTGGTTCATCTCACTTTTTTTGTTAATTCCATTTTAATTCACTCTTCCTCTGAATAAATATTTGATACGTTTTCAGCTCAGATTATCAATACCATTTTCTTTGTTATTATTTTCATTTATGACTTGCAGTATTACCATTATTATAATCATAAAGGATTCAGAGCCAAAAATAACCTTCCTTTTTTTTCAAAGAAACTTATCAAAATTAAAAAGATCCTCACAAAAATAATATGCTTTCATTATTCTATAAACTAAACATATATATTTATAAAAACCATAAAATATAAATTTTAATGGGACATAAACAATTGATACACTAGTAGCCAAGGTAGATAAAGTACAAAAGTTTTTTTTTTACTTGTTGGTTATTACAGATAAGTTCTTTAAAGTTTATTAAGTTAGGGAAACAAATGGAAATTAAATATTTATGAAAGCATAAAACAGATATTTTAAATTAGTGGGAAGAAATGATAGAGTAGAAAGTTATACTGATATTTTTATTTAAATATTACAAAAACAATAATCTTTATTTTTTATCAAAATTGGAAAATAGAAAATCTCGCATATGCGTGATTACACGCATACAACGTACTTAGTTAATGAGTCAAATAATTTTTTAAATAATAAAAGAAATAACTGCAGAATAAATTAGATATTCCGAATAATAGATAAACAATTTTGTCAAAAAAAAGAAGAAATAAAATCGTGGGTTTAAAATCTCATTACAACGAGATTACACGCCAACACTTGTTTTTCGTTTGTACTTGTAGCAGCAGTAAAGAGAAGCCAATGTTGTATTCTAAAAAAATATTTATTTAATTAAATAATTGCAATGAATTAAGCATATAGTATTTTAATTAAAAATTACAGAAACATATTAAAAATTTAAATAATTTTTTTTAACGTTTTAATTTTGATTTTCATCATTACTTCCCACCACATCGTAAGAGAAAAATATCGTCAGTGCGAGATTACATTTCCGGTTGGGTCATCATCAGCAGCCGTCGAATTCGAGTGGAGCAAGGTTTAATGCTACCATTGCAAATCCGGCGCACACTGTCATTTTTATAGACTTTCCGTTTAAGAAGAGGTAGAAAAATCAACAACTGAACCTATTGTCTTTACAAAGACAACAGTAAGTCCCGCCCGGCGACATTTCATTTTTTCCTGGGTATCGCTTTACTTCCTCTTTTTAAAATTGTCCGGCAAATTTTGTATTTAAGCATCGCAAGGGAGGGAGGTGCATCTATCTATCATGGAGAGACATCGACCGATTTTGATAGCAGCTACATTTTTGTCCGTGGTGAGTTTCATCTGTTAAAATATATATAAATCTCTACCTGTGTTGAAAGCACTAAATCTGTTTGTCTTTGTTCTTCTGAGATGTTTGAAAAATGTATAAAAAAATTGTCCTCTCCAAAACCGTATATAAGCAAACAATGATGTTTCTGACACTTAGATTTTTAAAGAAATGGATCATAGTTTTGTTTTCCACATTTGAAGAATGTAAAAACCGTTTGTTGCTTAAAATCCCTATAGTTCTTCATGTCATATACAGTTGATTATCTTCTCCTATACTTGTTATAAAAGCAATTAGTTTTAAAAAATCTAAAGAAAATCCCTTTTTGCTAATAAATAGGTGACACCTCGTCAATTTTGCAAAACTTATTTCTGAAGTTTTCTGTTTGTTTTACTTTTTTTATTATTATTTATATGGAGGATAGTTTGACGTGCATCCGTCTTTATAATCATCTTCAGTGTCTAATTACCCAAATTAATTTCTTTTTATTTACAAGGGAAATGATACCTCATTTTCTAGGTAAATACCGGATCTGTCGATAAAAAAAAATTTGAAATTGGAGCCGGATGCAGGTCAAAATTCAGATCAAACCGTCTTAGGTTAAATAAAAACTAAAAAAAAAAAGGAATCAAATAAGTTTTCTAGACATTGAATAACAATGACTTTTAATAACCAATGCAGTCGTGATGTACATTTTTTTTTTTTTTTTTTTTTTTACCTGAATAGCCCCACATCTAAGTTTGAAACCAATTTTTTTAAAAAGTCATTTATAAAATTAGCTGAAGTTTTTTTTCTGAGTCCAAATTAAAGCAACATCTCAAAAAGTTTTTTTTTTTTGTATCCTCATGATTTTTTTTTTTTTTTACTTTATTTTTCGCAAAATTCTAAACTCTTTATTATGAAAAACAAATTTAACAACAGTTGATAGTTTTAACGTCTTTTTGTACAAGAAAGCCGGTGATCACTATTTTTTTTTTAAATCCACTTTTTTTTATATAAATTAATTTAAAAGAAAATATTTTTAATCTTTATTTATTTTAAGTTCAAATACTTTTTTTTAGCCTTGCATTGGAGTTGCACACCTTAAAAGAAAACACAATTTTTCAGTTTTTTTTGTTGTTTTTTTGAACAGACATTTTATTTTCTGTGGTATCCAAAAATGAGACCTACGAAACCTGTGTTGTAATATTTGTTTGTTTTAAAATAAATAAAAAGAGCATTTTCATTTGCATATTTTACACTTCAATAGTTTTCTCTAGGCAGGTCACCTAATTTTCTGAATTGTTTTATTTTCTATCAATGGTTTCTTTAGTTTTAAAAAATGTGTGTTTTCACTCCTTTCCTTACTTTCCTTTCTCACTCACTTCTTGTCCGTCGTGTTAAACACGTGTAACAATTGAAACATGACATCTGTTACCACCCCAGTTTTATATTATTTTAACAATATTTGTTGTAAAGTAAAAATCATGATAATCTAAGTTATTTCCTTAAAAAGTAATATGATTAGATATTGATCTAATTTTTTTTTTTTTTTAATTGGGTTTCTCAAGTGAAACATTTTCTCTTGAAATTGGGAGGAAAGTTTTTGAAAGTTCTATTGAGATAGTCATTTACTGTACGTTTGTATCTTATTCTCATTTTAAACTTAAGATTAACGATAAGAAATTCAATGTTTTTAAAGAAAACGAAGCTTTTGGCACAATATTCATTGAATTTAACTCAGATATATGCCTGCAGTTCAAAATTTCATTTTTTTTTTTTTTTTTTTTTTTTTTATTTTACAACAAAGAACAGATTCAAAAACTAAGCGTAGAGGAATCCATTCTTCAGTGATTTTTTTTTTTTCTAAAAGGGTAAGATTAAAGAAAAAAAGAATGCATGCAACCACACGTCAAAACAAATTTCCTTATCTCCCTATCCCACCCTTTTGAAAATAAAATAAAATTATTCTTTAGAGGAAAAATGTGACCTCTGTTTTAAATTGCCTTGAAAATATTTGACTTGTACTAACTTGTTTTCCTGTCTTGCCCAGTTTTCTTTTAACATCTCATCAGAAGAAAACATCTTGAGTATTTTGATGTCAGAAATCAATTTAAAGATTTTTAATACTCTCTCTTTGAAACCATATCACTGATTAAGCTTAATCCCTATCCCTCATTGATGTCTGGTACAGATATCGAAAACTCCCACTGTTATAAAAATGTTAGTATGACTATGAAGGAGAAAACAAAGTTTTATTTTAAAATATTTGCTGTCTACCGACATAGCTTGAGGGAAATAGCAATAGGGAGGATTGTATAGGAATAAAGTAAAAAATAAAAAATAAAATCATAAGTCTGATGTTATAATTCCAAGGGACATGAATCTTACAATCCAAACATCAGACCACTAACGTCATGCAAGACGGAGAACACCCATCTGCACATTTTTTTAGGGTCTGATTTCCATTTAGAGTTTGACAAGTGGCACACTGTCTGGCCTGCAGTATGAAAATGGACAGCAAGCTGTGAACCCAAGAAATTGGCAAGTAGGGTTTTGGAATATCCAGCATCCAGTCTACTGGGAACAGTCTGAGGGCAAACTGCATACTTGGATGGATCAGGGCTTGACTTAACTGAAGAAGCTAGTTGTGATGTCACATTTTTTTTTACCCCTTTGATTTATGCCACTGACATTTTCTGATATTGGACTTAGGGGACTGATTTATAGCCCTTTGAATTACAACTTATGATTTTTTTTTTTTTTTTGGGGAACTTCCCTGTTGCTATTTGTCTCAAAAGCCGTTTCAACAAATAGTGCAGAGAACACAGTTTTTTTTTTTTTTTTTTTTTTTTTTTTTTTGAAATAAGGCTTGGTTTTCTCCTTCGTTGCCACTATTACCTCAAGTTATATACATTGATAAAATAAATTTTCAAATTAATGTTTTTGATCTATGTGCAGTAGGTGTATACTGGTAGGTAGTAGATATTGTGATAAAATTTTCAGTCTTTGGTCTTCTTGTGATGTAGCAACTCTCATGGAAGTGTCTTGTCCGTGTCTGTGGTTTAGACATTGATACATGTTGCAGTAAGGTTTAGTTTGAGCGAGTTGTTGGAGTATTGGTCTTCAGGAAGCTAGGTGGTCATTTCAGAGAACTGCTGAGAATTTTGGTGATGTTTTGATTTTAGAAGCAGTGGTAAAATGAACCTTTCTACACTTGTAGACCAAGCTTTGGATGTACACATGGTATCGACCCTTGCCAGGATCGATTTATTACAAGAGAAGCAGTGGTAGATTGTACAGTGTCACAAGAGTCAATGTTGGACCATAAGGAATTATTTACTTGCTGCAGGACAGTATGCCTCTAAATAGACTTCTACTTGTGCCACAACATCATTATGTATGTCGCCACTATTTTCACAATAGGTTCATCTGTGTGGTTGAATGTGTGACAATTTTCCTGAAAGAAAATGAGGAAACTAATGCCACCAGTGAAAAGAGGGTATGACTCTAACTTGTTCAAAGGGCTTCAAACTTTAACGAACATTCAGAAAAGAGAAATGACTCTTAATGAGAATGATGCAGTAGATAATTGCAACAGATTTTCTTTGTTGCAACCTTAGTCCAAATGGAAAGAGGTCTCGTAAAGTAGAGGATTACTTTAGGTAATACTTAATTTAAAAAAAAAAGTAAAATGTAAAAGCACTCAGGTTAGTAATGAAAAAGGAATATAGTAAAATACTCTATGTAATATTAGTGAAAACAAGAACCCAACTAAGAACTTCAAGAGTGGCAAATATAAGTGGGAATTGCAAACAGGGTAAAGACCAGCTAATCAAATCAAGTAAGAAGACTTATAACAAATTACATGTGATTGGTTAATGCAAATTTAGTCTTAAACCTGTGTCATTTAATCCTGACTTACAGTTAAGCTTAAGGTAAGTAACATATTTAAAAAATTTTCCAACAAATGATGTTATATATGGGACCAGTTACTTTAATCCATATATAATGTCATATTTAGTTAGGTACCTCCGCGAGATTGCTAAAAAAAAGAGCATAGCATGATGAAAAAGACGCCAAACTTGAGGAAAACAAAATTTTATCATCTAAATATTTGTTATTATTAAGAGGAAAGATCAAAGTATTTTGGGGGTATTTTTTTACGTTTTTTAATCGTTCCTAGCACATCCGAAATTTTCATTAAAAATTTTTTTTTTTTTTTTTTTTTTTGAGTCAGCAAAATTGACAGATGGCAACCATTTTTTTACATTTTATAAAAAAATCGAAAATCTCACTTTGAAATCCTTTTAAATATCAATTATCATTTTTTCAAAACTTATTTTAAGAAAATCAGATAATGTTTATTTAAAATATTTTGAACCAAGTTTAACTTAGCTTTTGCACTGAAAAGATATAATTTGAAAATGAAACAAAGCAGATCATAAACTTTTGCCTCTCTTGACAGGTGATGAATGACATATTGACGGATTCCGTGAGGATAATTCCTTCTACGGAAGGAGAAAAGTGAAATTATTTACATTTAAGTGAACAAATTATTTACCTCGTTATTTTTTAGGAAAACTTTCAGCGCCTTTTTTTTTTTTTTTTTTTTTTTTTTTTTGTACTTAGCTTTCATGTTTATGATGCTTTATGGAAAATATATTATAAAGAAATTAAAATAAGACTGTTAAGAGTGAGATTAAATTTCATATTTCATAAGAAAGGTATCTAATTAATTTATAGGTACCTTTCATATGAAATTTTATCAGAAGTGTACATAAAATACTATAATTTTATGTACATTTATTACATTTTACTGTGTTATTTGTATTTCCATTCATTTTATTAATTTTGATTTTTCATTTATGGAAAAATGTCATAACTGAGATTAATATACATTTCATAAGATGATACTGATACTTGTAGGTACCCTTCTCAGTTGAAATTGAAAAATCAAATTAACTTCACACGTGTTTCACAAAAGTAAAGGCCTTAACAGCCGAGAACAATGCTTAACTCAA